CCACCCCCTCCCCTCCAAAAAAACAAACCACTGTGTGCTACTAATTGGGTGACATTTTCACAGCTTATTAATTGCGTGAACGTGTAAGGACAGATTCAAGAGTGTGTCAAATATGCAAAACGGGAGATGCAGAAAAACATACGTTTCCGAATATTTTTTAATGTAATTCAGTGACACATCGCAGAAATTAAGTATTAAGTAGGTTGTGATATTCTAATATATTATTCTTGACTTCGTTTTGCTAATTACTAAATTATAGAATACCTATAATGATTCACAAATGTGCAAATATTTCCTTCCATGAGTTGATTCAAGTTCATTCTGTCAGTTGAACTTACTTGACCTTGAGAGAGAATAGTCTTATTTTATTGATGAATCTAATTATATCGACTATAATTGAATGTAATTAAATCTACATCGACTTTACTTCTGTCAGTTATCTTGTGTATGTACTGTATATAATAGTTATAAGGCCGACACTCTTAAGAATGTCCCCAAAAATGTAAAATGTTCCTGAAATGTCAAGAACTTCTTTAATCTCTAAAGGACCATAAAGAAACTCAAGAACACCATAAAACTAAAATTGTATCGTTTGTTTGTTTTTTGTTAAGATACACACACACACACACACACACGCACACACGCACACACACACACAACATCCTTATAAGTGCAACATAAATGTCATCGTATTTCATGTTTAGTAGTCCGCGCTCCACCACTGTGAAGGTGTAAACTGTTTTCTTTTCACTGAGTGTGTGTTTATGAGTTTTCTGTGAGGTGTAAATTAAAGACTGAGCGGAGGAGAATCCACCGCTAATTTTGCAGCAGCTTGAGAGATAAAAAGCTATCCAGTACTACCAGTTCAAGTTTTAAAATAATATTGACTACGGGAGCTTTTATTTTCATTTTAATTCGTTTTAAACAGCAACATTTTTTCAGTAAGAGTTGCATTGTTGAATGCACTTTAAACATGATTTGATTGCATTTGTTTTATTTTCAGACCTTTAGGGGCGGAGCAACAGTTTTAACCGACTGGGGTGGGGCTCGTAATTAGATGTCAACAAATTCATATACTTACTACAGGCCTATACTGTGGCTTGATTTATTACGCAGAACGTCAGAAACTTTCAAAACTAGATTATATTTTATTCTTATTATTCTTGCACATAAACTGAGCTGAGATTATTTGATTGGTTTGCTTGCTTCTGATTTGAAAACAACAATAGCCTATAGCCAGATCGAAGAAAACAGAATGTAATATATTTATATATATATATATTTTAAAGCACTAAAATGGAAAACGGTACATGTAGTTCCTGATTTAAATTTTAAGGAAAATAAGTCACAACCTGCAATGATAATCTCATTGCCCTTTTTTGCACTTGAATTTAATTACTGATAAACTTAAGCAAAAACATTTCAAATAGCCTACAGCAGAAAGTAGGCTACATAAACTATGGTGAATAAGTTAAATGGATGGAAACAAAAATTTTGTTATTGTAACGATAACATTTACAGTACAGTACAATCAGTCTCCGTTGTCCTTAAAATAATTCTGTGTTTTACGGTTTGCGTCATTTAAGGATGCTAAAAAACAAGATTATTTGATTATTGATTTACACATCTTACTTTTGTAAGATTATGCTTAGAAAGAAAATAATTAGACATATTAATAATATTGATAGTATTTATATATTGATAGTATTCATAAGTATTATTAATAATAATAATAATTAATAAATATTAATCAAACGTTTAGTAGGGGTTGTTTTAGAATTTTTTTCTCAATGCCAATAATTTTCTAAAATATGTGTATTACGTGCACAATGATCCAAATATAACCTGTCAATCTGGCAATCTGCAGACTCAAAGTGTCATATTTTCGTACTACAGGAAGAGGGCGCCAGTCAGTGACATCTATCTGCTTTTTCCACAAACGGACAAATTAAGTTTATAAGAAGCGCCCCCCTGTGTAAAATATATATGATCTATTTCCTACTATTTATTAGTAAACTATTTTTGTTTGTTAAGTACTGTAATTCTGTCTTGTTCTTATGTTCTTCTATGCAGTGCAGATGGTTTCAGCTCAGAATCTGGAACGACAAAATAAAATACCATTAAATTAACTGAAGAATAATGTCTGTCCTGCACTCTTACAGAGTGGTGTGTGTGTGGGCTGACAGAAGAAGTAATGGAAAAAAACCCCAGTTGCTCTCTCCCTCTGTGGTCCAGTTTCACCGGGGGGCATAGATTAACCCCTATGTATGTGTGTTTCACTGAAATCCTTGCATCCTCTTAATTTTAACAACCTGAGCAATTCAATTGCACAAACACATTTATCTAAAGACATACCTTCAATGCTTTTATTTTAAAAGAATTATTTAAAAATCATTATAATTACTCCAGACTATAACCCTAACCCAATATTACCATAGAAATGCTTTTGCATCCTTTTGAATTGTTGCCCAGTTGAATCTGTAGCTGTTTACAGAAGCACACTATGTTTATCTGAAAACTAGTGACCTGTAACTGCACAAAACTTGCTGTACGTATCATCCCAGTACCTCTTCTTCCCTCTCTCTGGGGCAGGCATGCCAAAGAAATTGCAGAGGTCAAAGTTCAGTAAAGATGAATGACAGCCTCATATCCCAAGGCAAAGAATGAGAGTTTGATGAAACAATTTGATGTTATTTAGGTTTATGGGAAGATAGTTTTAATTCAAGTTCAACTTAACAGCATTTATGCACATCTCCTGGAACTGATCTGTTCAGTGCAAGCTTTAGAGTTCAAACTGAGGGAAAATGCTTCAAATAAATGCTGGTATTCACATTCCCTTGTCTGCAAGTATATCTGGCACTCTAAATTTACATTTACATTTACACAGTCACACTTACAAAGTCACACAGTAGGTCTGGTTCATATATATCATCAAAACCTCACCAGTAAATGAAACACACACACACACACAGGTATGCAACACAGCCGAGGAGCAGCGTTTGCCCTTTGACCTCTCATTAGTGGGGGTGTGGGGGGAGGTTCAGGTTACAAATCCAGCTCTGTTTGCTATTCAGGGTTAAGCACCCCTCCTTTCAAACCCCCAAAGGTGAGAGGTCATACTTTTTAATAAGGCTCAGTTTGAGAGGTTCATATTTTTTTTATTACCGCTTCTTATTGTTGCTCAGTGTGAGGCATGTTTGAGTGGTTTCAATCACCATCACAGTTTTATTTGTACGTTGTTAATGACAAAATATGACATTAAACCATTGCACAGGAACAGAATCAGCTATATAAACGTATAAACTCTCACCAACACTGTTCTCTCTCACAGTGTTAATTTTTTGAGCTGGTGTTATCTGATACCTGGCCATCTCTCATGGCAACAGCATCACAGACTGTTTGGGACAGGTGACAATGCTCCTATTTCCTTTCTTCACACAATCTGTTTCAATGATCTCTCTTGTTCTTTTGTCCTGTCCTGTTTTTCCCTAAAGGAGTCATGAACTATAATGCTGAAAGACTTCCAGCAGTATTGCTAAGATGATGGTATATTCAGATTTGTTTGGCATTCAAAATAGTTCTTTCAGATAAATTTCTGAGAAAAACTTTAGGACCTGAAATTGCTTGGCTGGTTAGCTTGAGTTTTTGTGGTCACCCAGAAATTAAATTTGCTTAGAATGCACTCATCCTCAGACAATCCAAGATGTAGATTGAGTTTGTTTCTTCATCAGAACAGATTTGGAGAAATTTAGCATTACAACACTTGCTCATGGATCCCCTGCACTGAATGGGTGCCGTCAGAATGAGAGCCCAATAAATGGATAAAAACATCACAAGTAATTGAGACGGCTTTTGTGAAGTGAAAAATTGCATGTGTGTAATGAATCCATCATTAAGAGATTTTAAACTTCAAATAGTTATTTCCAGGTAAAATGAGTCTATCCATAGCAAAAAAGCCATCTTGTCTGAATCAGGAGAGCAATATGCACAGCACAAACACCGTTTACAAGCGAAAACAGTTTAGAACAGTTCTAAATGCATATGTTGGTGGAAGTGAGTTTTGAAGTGAGAGGACAACATGGGATGGACTTTTTAAGTGGAGGAAGTTTTATTATGGATTATGTACTGGTATATTTTGACCAGAAACAATGGTTTAACGGTTTATCAATGTTTTCTTTCAAACATGCAGCTTTTCACTTCAAAAGACGTTAATTGTGAATTATTGTGATGTTTTTATCAGCTGTTTGGACTCTTATTCTGACAGCACCCATTCACTGCAGATGATCCATTGGTGAGCAAGTGATGCAATGCTAAGGAAACTTTAATTTTAGGGTCAACTATTCCTTTAATCCCAAAGCATTGTGTTTTAGATTCACACAATGCCTGTCAATGCCATCTGTAAGAGTCATTTACAAATCAGAGAGAATTTCTCTTTTCCCTGTCATAAAAGGTCACATTTTAATGCATGGATTAAATGGGTTAGATTAAAGGTGACAGTAAAGACTTTTATAATGTTACAGAAGATTAATATTTCAAATAAATGCTGTTCTTTCTTTTCATCAAAGAATCTTGAAAAAATAAGATACTTTTAAAAACAATATAAAATCTTGTCGACCCCAAACTTTTGCACACTATTGTACATATTATCTAATAAAAAAAAAGAAAAGAAAATTATGCCACTTAATAAGGATTCCTTTTCAAGAATTTCATTATTTTAAAGCAATATCAGGACAGTTGTATAACCATGGCATTTTATTTCTTTATTTAATGTTTAATAATTAAATATATTCAATATAGAAATTAAAAACATGCTCATCGTAAAATAGGTGTATTTACGTCATTGTGTATGAGTTGTACTTCTAATGTATTTTACTACTTTTCAATAAATTAGTGAATAGGAACAAAATGAACATCATGTCTTTGACGCTCATAAGAAACACAACACACGTGTGGTCTTCTCATCCTGCTCAAAAGAATGAGGCTATCTTTGATGAGACTCACTAACCTTGTGTGACTGATGAGGGTGAAGAAGATGATGAGAGTTGCAAGGGAGAAAGTGCCATCTTGTTACTAAGCAGCGAGGTCCCATTGCCTTCAGGAACCAAGTTGTAACCTTCAAGCTGCAAGTTGTTGGATGGGTTGACAGTGAATACCGAGCTAATGGACGTGGTCTGGTCCTGGACCGACACATCCTGCCTCACATCCTCTGTTTTCACATCTATGTCTGTCCCATTCACACTGCAGTGAAATGAGGGGTACGCCAGTGCAGGATCTTCCATTACCCCTTTATCCTGTCCTGTACCATCCATCTCCACATCTGCCGTTGATCTGCAAGCCAGGGACTGGAGTCCCAAGTTCATGCCGCTGAAGAGGACATGTCCTGTAGTGGAGAGAAATGAAGGGGTGCCGTTGTGGAAAACAGAGGTGGGAGTGTTGACTGAGACTCCGTTAAATATGACGGACGGTGGCGAGACAGAGGTCCTGCTGTCTCCAGCCTGCTGGACGATGACCCCGGCCTGCAGAGCTCCAGAGCAGAGAGGCACAACTGCATTGCCCACGGTCCCGTCAGCACAGGTTGACATCGGGCATGGGGACAGAGACTCCTGACCTTTACTGCTCTCATCCTCCGTACTGTGATTTCCATCTGACTCACTGAGAAGAGAGTGTAAGAGAGTGTAAGACAGAGAGTTGAGGGACAGTAAACCTTTGTGTCTTCACTACAATTTTACTCATTATAACAGATTTGTGTTCTGTATATGTAAACATCTTAAGTACTTTTAAGTATTTATTAATACTTGTTAAATTCTTGAATTGCTGTTTTCTTTTTTTAATTCAATTCAATTTTGTTTGATATCATTTTAATTTATTGAATTTATTTTACTTTTAATTGATAATACTACTTTATTATTTTGCACAATTTCTTATTGCACACAGCTGAACTAATAAGATTTCACAAACTGAAAATGCTTTGGCATTACAAAATCAGTGTTAGCAACACCAAGGTCATGGGTTCGATTCCCAGGGAAAGCAAGAACTGATAAAATGTGGATGTGTACCGTGAATGCCCTGCAAGTCTTTCTGGATAAAAGAGTCTGCCAAATGCATAAATGTACAATTAACAATGAAACAGAGTGCAGCTTCAGACAGGACTGCTGAACAAGAACCAACCAAATAAAAAAGCTAGAAAAAAATTCATTTTTGTTCCATTAGGAAAATTAAAGTAGAAATGAAAGCAAATTGTATTATTATCTGTGCTCGCTGTGACCATGGTAAGGTTGACAGGCACACTTTAAATGTTAAAATACAAGAGGGAAATACTTGGGCAAACCCTCAATCCTCATTCAGTATTTCTAAACGGTCTGAAAAAGATCAAATCCAGGTGTCCATATTCATTTGAATTCTTTCTTAAACGCAGAGTAGTCTAAATGTCCATTAATATCTATAACTCGCTGAAAGATTTTTTTTTTTTAAATTTTTATTGCATTTTGGATTTGGAATTACTTTTTTATGACACTGCTGTTGATGCTTTTGCCAATATTGTATGCTAAACACTCGTTCCAATGAAGTAGGCTCTGAAAGAGTGGAGGAATATTGAATTATTACTTTTCATTCTTTGCTAAACTGTACATGAGCGCGGGCTGACGCAGCTGCAGGAAGATGTAGACTGGAGCGCGCATAGACAAATGGATTGGTGAGCATCCACTTCACAGCTTTCATGTGTCAGCGGTAATCCTGTCTATACTACAGACTCTTTTTACGCACGCATGCACACCATTTGGCGCAATAAGTCCTATGGAGACACAACCCTGCGAACACCGCATAAATTCTCAAATGGTCAGCTCTCTGACCACAGTGCCCTTCGCCAAACGGGGATGGGTCGCCAGTAACGAAAGGTTAAATTTAGCGGATATTTTAAAGTACGATACAGCACGATTCATCCACTATATTTCTAAGTGCCTTCAGCTGTTCAAACATAAATTCGTTTGGTTGCGAGAGAAGGGCGCGTTTAGTGAATGACTGCAGCAGCTGTGTGACTCCTACAGGACTTCAACAACTGTCATGTGTTCCTTCTCCAAAAGATTTAGGCATTTTGTTATTATTTTTTTTAGTGATAACGTCATTACATGTCATGTTTGGGAGATTAAACACAAGACGCGTTCTGTCTGTCTGTACGTGAGTTTTGGCCGTTGCGTCGCGTTTTTAACCGCGTCTCGAGATCAGTGCGTTCTGTTCTATTCCTTAATTTTCTATTTCTTATTCCTTCTTCCATTTCAGTATTGTTGAATAATTATCTCGTTGTTTATTTTAATAGGGTTTATAATAAAGTTAAAATATATTGAACTTTCAAACATATTTCAAAATGTATTTTCAAACTCTGGTGATCTATTAAACATTATAAAAGATAATAATGTTTGTTAATAATAAACATGTTATCGAGTAAATCTTTTTTATAGAGATTTCTGGCTGAGACTCTGAATGGGGGTCCTAAAAGTTAAAAACGCCTGACATGGCCTATTAATATTATCTTGCCCCACATTTGGCATTACAGAAAAGCACAGGATGTCCTCTATAAAACAACTGCATGCATGTTCTGAGTAATATTAGCAAAAACGCATTACCAAAGATGAATTGTTAGGATAAGAACTGAAACTCTCTTTTTTTTTGGAAATGTTATGGAGTACAGCTGTAAATTATAAAATTGCCTCATTCACGTGAGTGATTAAAAATATGATTGATGACAAAAACATTCCTGATCAAGATGCTTCAAGCAATGTGTGACATCAGCTTTCTGTGAATGGAAAAAAAAAATTATGTATGTGTTGGAGGGAGGTCACTTTCACCAGGTGCGCTGGAGCTTTGTTCACAAAGAGAAAAACAATAAAGTGAATCCTGTATTACCAGTGCATGTGTGTGTGTGTGTGTGTGTGTGTGTGTGTGTTAAAATAGAGTGCTGAAGAGGAGGTTTTCCTATCCCCTCTGGCTAAAAAGAAAAGTAAATAGTTCTGAGTGATTTATGTGGTGGGGCGATCCTTACGCGTCAATGGATCCTGAGTAGCTACTCACTCAAAAATAAACACAGACACGAGGTGTGGTGACTCACGCGATACATTTTACGCACACGTTTGGATGTCCTTTAGAAGTTGCCGTTTAAAATTTCGATCAAAGCATTTTTTTCTCTGTAATTTAAGGTCATTAAGAATAAATTAAAGATGAGTCTAAATGTAAAAAGACTGGTAACAAGTTGTGACAACACAAGCAGACAAGAAGGAACCGTTTTTAAAAGCATTAAAATGCCAAGATCTCCTGTATTTCAATATTGTCAATAAATCAATTAAAACCCTTGACAAACGTCTTTACTGTTTATTCATTCATTCATTGAACAAAGTTTGTGTTTGTGGGTTTCTAGTTTTGCTCACCTTTTGGACTGCGCCTCTGACGGGTTTCTGTCTCTCTGCCTCCTGTTTTTGAACCAGTTGCTGACCTGTGTGAGGGACAGTCCTGTGATCTTGGCCAGATTCCTTTTCTCGGCCGGGGATGGGTACCGGTTCTGCTTATAGAGGTCCTTCAGCGCGTTCCTGGAGCGCTCTTTGAAGCAGTACACCGTCTCCTCTCCATCCCAGATGGTCCGGGGCAAGGGAAACTTCCGTCGCAGGCGATATTTATCCACTGCGCCCAGCGGTCTACCGCGGGCCTTCTCCGCCTCCGTGTACCGGGCTTTGTACCATAAGTCCTGCAGGGCAGAGTGGCACGAGGGGCTGAAACTGTGGCTCTCCAAGATGCTGTAAAGCTCCTGGTAGCGCGCCTGGTGGAAGGCCACCAGCGCCTGAGCGCGGAGGATACTCTCGTTACCGCGCAGCAAGTCGCTCTGCGGGAGAGACCACAGAAACCGGGCGAGTCGATCCACGTTGCCCCCCTGCTGAAGCGCCTCGCAAACACAAGCAACCTGCTCCGGTGAGAAAGCCAAAGAGGCCGCGGCTGCTGCGGGTGAAGTGTGCGCAGACAAAGAGTCCATAGTGGGCATCTTGCGCTCCGGTGGAGAGGTCTGCTGCTGCCCGACGAGCATCCCGGTGGCCACTGGAGTGTCCAGAATGAGGAGTTTGACGTGCCCCCGACTGTCCGTGGATCTCTCGGGAGGCTCCGCGTACTTCACATTTTCCTTTTTGATCTCGCCTGCCACTGTCACTTCACTAGAGGAAACAGACATTGTTTTTATTCTTCACCTCAGATTCCTTTAGTCGGTCACCCCGCCTCGTTTCTGCCCAAAGCTGATCCGGTTACCCGTGCGCCATGCGAGTGATATCGGGTGTCTTTGTAAATGGATAGCTTTCCCCTTTCGCTCCAGCAGCGTGACTTCTCAGCCCGATAGTTTGAGGGGGACACACATGATTGGCTACACGAAATTTCGAAAGGGGCGGGGCGAACGCAGCTTCAAGGCGAACACATTGAAATGAAGCTGTCACTTAGCCGTGACGCGCTCCCGCAGCTCACCTGCGCTATAGGTGAGATCTCATTCGAGGCTTTTGTATGCTGCTGTGTGTTTACTTTGAGCTTAACAGAGTCAGACTGTTCATACAACAGACACTTCAAACGACACAGACATTTACAAAACGACAAGCCCTACCCCTTAATTCATTTTATCTCCGTTTGAAAGGTTCTTGGTCTTTTAGGTCTAAAGGCTACTTGGTCTTATAGCATTGTCTCTTTAAAAAAACAACAAAAAAAACTCAATTTTTTGAGTTTTTAACGACAATTATTGTTCTACAATACAACCAAATGGATATTTATTTATTTATGAAAAGGACAAGGTAAAGGTGCTTAGTATCTATCTATCTATCTATCTATTTATCTATCTATCTATCTATCTATCTATCTATCTATCTATCTATCTATCTATCTATCTATTCCCAAACAGTCGGAAGGGAGCTTCATCAGAGAAAATAACTTTGCACCAGTCTTCTGCTGTCCAATCCTTGTACGTCCTGCAAAATTTCAGTCTGTTCTTGATGTTTTTCTTGGAGAGAAGTGGCTTCTTTGCTGCCTTTCTTGACACCAGGCCGTTGTCCAAAAGTCTTTGCCTCACTGTGCGTGCAGATGCTCTCACACCAACCTGTTTCCATTCCTGAGCAAGCTCTGCACTGGTGCTGACACGATTCCATAGCTGACTCCTCAGGAGGAGACGGTCCTGGTGCTTGCTGGACACTCTGGGAAGTCCTGAAGACTTCTTCACTGCAGTCGAACCTCTCTCCTTGAAGTTCTTGATGATCCGGTAAATGGTTCTTTCAGGTGCAATATTCTTTGTAGCAATTTCCTTGCATGTGAGGCCATTTTAATGCAAAGCGATGATGGCTGCACATATTTCTTTGGAGGTAACCATTGCTAACAAGAACACAATGATTGGATGCGCTTCTTCCCTCCTTTTATAGCAATCAGTCTGCTCTTACAATCTAATTAGTATGATAGTGATTTTACCTGACTAGTGCTCATTCACACTTTCACATGTGCTGCTGATATGATTAGTCAATTAATGTTAGCTGGTCATTTTGTGTCAGGATCAAAAAACAATGAAATTAGTTTTTTTTTTTTTCTTTTGTGAAAAGTTCATTTTTTGGCCAATGAAGCTTTTTGCATTTATTTAAAATTCAGCTGACCACTCTAACACAATAATCTAGAAAGAATGTTAATGAACACCACAACAGCTTAAGCAGCAAACATTGCACAACACAAAATTTATGTCACTGCCAAAACTTTTGGCCATGACTGTAGCTATTCATTTGGTTCATGAGAGTAGTTACTTAGCCACAGAGAGGGTGTATGATGTCATGGGTGACGTGTGTCTGAAGTCATGTGACTCCTGCTCCGGATGCCCTTGACCTGCAGAACTTAAGGACTCACGGTGGACTGCTGACCTGAGACTCAGAGACTGTATATGAATATATTACACACTGATGACACACTGCTGGAGACAGTCCAGCACACACTCCGCCGGTCATTTCATGAGAGTTTACGTCTGTATGCAGAAAATCAGGACGAAGGAATCACAGCTAATTAATGACCGTAGTCTGAGATTAAATACAGATGATGGAGTGGAAGTAGATGTTGCTTGTGTGTTTCTTTCGCTATGGGCCTTTTTGGCCCTTTGGACTTTGGAGAGAAAAATAAACTCTTACGGTTTTTCTCAATTAGTCTTACCATTCTCTAATGCCCTGTCCACACGGAGACGCGTTTAGCTCTGTACACATAACGTTACATTTTGTATCGTATTGGCGTTTCGTCCAGATGGATCCAGCGTTTTGGGAGAGTGAAACCGATATTTTTTTAAACCGGGTCCCAGAGTGGATAAATCTGAAAACGCCGCCCTTGCGTTTTCATGTGGACAGCGAATCCGTATATTTTCTGAAATGATGACGTCATCAGCCCACGTCTCGCCTCTAGTCAGACATCGCTACGTCACGTAACAGCAACAAAAACATGAACAAACACTGAATGATTGTCTTTTTATTAACTAACATTAACACAGATTAATAAATGTATTGTTCCGTGTTCGTTTGTATACCGCGCGCATCGCAAGGTTTATGTGCATAGTCCAAGTCGTCTTCTCCGTTTTTTGTGTATCTCTGTGGCAGAATTACAGCGCCACATGCTGGTCTGGCATGTATGCTACATAGTTTTGTGTCGGTTTCGTGTGGACGCAGATATTTCTTGAGACGAGGGGGGGAAAAAAATTGAATAGGGAAAGCTCTCGTTTCGTGTGGACGTAGCCTAAACTGTAAGTGCAATTGTCAACTGTTTTAGGTCATCATTTCACAAAGGAAATATGATACATTAAGAATATTGAATTTGAAGAATAGGGTGAATAGAACTTTTTTCTTCTGGGAAACATGTAAGTATCTTCTGCAGCTTCTGATGGGCAGTACTAAATGAAAAAATATGATATTTAGGCACAAGTGAAGTGAAATGTGGCCAAGTATGGTGACCCATACTAGGAATTAGTGCTCTGCATTTATCCCATCCAAAGTACACACATAGGCATTTTTTTCTGCGGCGCAGTTGGGGGTTCGGTGCCTTGCTCAAGGGCACCTCAGTCGTGGTATTGAAGGTGGGAGAGAGCCCTGTACATTCACTCCCCCCGCCTACAATTCCTGCCGGACCTGAGACTCGAACCCGCAACCTTTGGGTTACGAGTTCGACTCTCTAACCATTAGGCCACGACTTCCCCAATTAAGAAACATGTGCACATCTTTATTCTGTTCAAACATTTAAACCCCTGGCTCTTGATGCATCGTGTTTCCTTCTGGAGCATCAGTGAGCGTTTGAAATTTTTGTAATGGTTGCGTATATGAGTCCCTCAGTTGTCTTCAGTGTGAAAAGATGGATCTCAAAATCCTACAGTCATTGTTGTAAAGGGTTCAAATACACAAAAGATGCTGGAAAACCAAAGAATTAGTGGCACCTGAAGGATTTTTGTGAAGAACAGCGGGCAGTTTAACTGTTCAGGACAAACAAGGGATTCATGAACAAAAAAAACACAGCTGTGGATCATCCAGGTAACAACACAGTATTAAGAATCAAACATATGTAAACTTTTGAACGGGGTCATTTTTATAAATTCAGCTATTATTTTCTCTTGTGGACTATATGTAAATGCCTTTTATGTGAAATATCTCATTCAGGTCAGTACTACATAAAAAAATAATGAACATTTTGCAGATACTGCAAAGTGTATGTAAAATTTTGCTTAACTATACATGTGTGAATCACAAATTTTAAATAACTGAATGATCATTTTGCATGGTATGGCTCACACGCTGAAAGAATGTTTTGAAGTTGTGGATAGTATGTTAATACTAGTTATAGTCTTTTTTTGTCTACAAACAGTAAAATCGAATTGAAAAGACATTTGAAAAACTTGAAATCTGTTAGTTTTATTAAAAATCATTCATGGGACATAAAAGTGCCTGTAGTTGAAGAAACAGTATTTTTGACTCTAAGGCTGATGCTGAGTGTGTCCTGATGACCTGCAGCAGTGAAGAGGGAAGGGCACAGGTTGGTGTGTGTGAGAGATAGTTGATGAGAGGGACACAGGTAGCTTATGTGAGCGGGTTTGTGTGTGAAATGCAGGAGTTTGCAGATTTTGTGTGTGTGTGATGGGGTCAGTTGTGCTGAGTTAGAGGAGTGTAGTAACCTCTCAACATGCTGACAAACACTGATCGGGAGTGGGGGAATGAGCAGGGAATATTTAGCATTTATTCACGTGAGAGTCTGTGTTCGTACTTGTGTTTTGCTGGCTTTTTTAAAGGTCTGACGTTCTCTCTCTCTCTCTCTCTCACACACGCACACTCACCTTGTGTCTGTTCAGGTCATGAGTCAGGGAGAAGTAGAGTCAATCCTCTAAAGTAAGTTAAAAAGTGAACAGTTGAGACGCTTCAGAGAAAACCCAGGCTAGATATCAGCTGAGCCATGGTGCAGTGGTTCGTACACATGTTCCTGACACTTTTGTTGAGTTGTGGTGCTGATGCAGGTTGCACAGGTTCAGGTCTGCTATGTGTCCTGATCTCAGTTCAGTGATCAAAAAGGATATATTTTTTCTTTTTTTTTTTTACCTGCTGGCCTAATCAGACTAATACTTAAGATTTGTTTTACCTGCCCTGGCAAATTTTCACTGCCACAATCACAAACAAAATTAAAAAATAGGGTAAAACAGTGATATTGTGAAATTTTATTGCACTTTAAAATAACAGTTTTCTCTTTTAATATATTTCTTATATAGTATTTTATTCTTGTGATGGCAAAGCTGAATTTTCAGCAGCCGTTACTACAGTCTTCAGCATCACATGATCCTTTTTTTTTATCCCCACATTTATTATTATTATCAATACTGTGATACATTTTTTCAGAAGGAAAATAAAGTTAAAAAGAATAGCATTTGTTTGAAATATACATATTTTTTGTAACAGTGTAACAGTCTTTTCATGCATCAATTTAAAGCATCTTGTTGAATAAAAACATTTATTTCATTAAAAAAATAAGTTTACTGTTTTCATTTTTATCAATGTTATATGTTATATTTAATTTCCTGTCACCAGCAAAGAATGTTTACAGAAATGTTGTCCACTGTATCATATACACTACCTGTCATATTGAAGTTTCAGAGAGCAACGTATTCTGTAGAAAGAGCGGGGAAATGAAAAACAGACAGTTAAACTGCTCAGTGGAAAATGAAAGATTGTTAACCGTATTTTTTAAAGAAAATGTAGTTGAAACTCAGCATTAGTTATATGCATAAATCCTGGGCAAGATGTAACATTGTTTTTTTAACACACACTGTACTTTGTCAGCCCTTAATGTGTATGTCTGCTTTGCTTCAAACCCAACCCATCATCACTCCATTATAATTGAGTAAGCCCACCACACACACACACAAATATCAGGCCTCTGTTTTATCCATTAGTCTAACTTATGGCTCCGTTTGGAAAGTTTTTAGGGCCAAATTTTACCCTTTGAAGCAGTGAGATGATTGAAATGTGTGTTTGTGTGGAATCGCTTCTGAAGGCTTTTCCAGCAGATTTCACATTTCATTACTGTTTATTTTGACCCTCTTTCAGCAGACCTACCAATGTGAGTAAAATGTTTGTGTGTGTGTGTTTCAGGTGTGAGAGCTGTGTGGAGATGCTGTTTGTCCGTGGTTCAGGTAACTGTGTGCAGTGCAACACTCCTCTCAGAAAGAGTAATTTCCGCGTGCAGCTCTTCGAAGATCCAGCCATCGATAAAGAGGTGGAGATCCGCAAGAAGGTTCTTAAAATGTATGTGGCAGAAAAAAGTGTATATGTGACCCTGGACCACAAAACCAGTCATAAGGGTCAACTTATTTTTTAATTTTTTCGAGATTTATACAATAACTGAAAACTGAATAAATAAGCTTTCCATAGATGAATGGTTTGTTAGGATAGCACAATATTTGGCCGAGATACAACAATTTGAAAATCTGGAATCTGAGGGTGCAAAACCATCAAAATATTGAAAAAATCGCCTTTAAAGTTGTCCAAATGAAGTTCTTAGCAATGCATATTGCTATTGCTACAAATATACCCCAGCGACTTAAGACTGGTTTTAGGTCCAGGGTCACATATGTGCATCCGGAATTGTCTTAATGACTAATTATGGCATTTTAATGATGTATCTCTTTTCTTTCTTTCTTTTTCTTCTCATCTTTCAGCTATAATAAGAGGGAATTTGATTTTTCCACTCTGAAAGAATATAATGACTACCTGGAGCAGGTTGAGGACATTGGTGAGATGCATATATCAATTATTTATTCATATTCACATTTGTTTTTAAATAATCTTTTTTGTGTTTCAAATGTATTTTTGTGTGTGTCTCCAGTGTTTAACCTGACAAATAACATAGATGTTGAAAGGACCAAGCAGATGATGGAACAGTACCAACGAGATAACAAAGACATTATACAGAGAAACAAAGCCAAACTGGTGGGTATATATGCATAGTTTTGATTTAGCAGATGGATAATTTCACAAATGAGAAGTTAATTTATGCAGAAATAGATCTTAGCAACAATCAGAATTACATCTTATTGAAGCCACAGCCTTGCAATTTGTGTGTGCTCCAGACTCAGTTGAGCTTTATTTTATTTTATTTTCCATTTTCTAAACTATATTTTAATACATTTTCTTCCTTAATTTGATATTGTCTCTCTGTTAGACACGTGAGCAGGAGGAGTTGGAGGAGCTGTTGTTGCAGGATCATCAGGATTCAGAGCAGAGGAGACTGGAGACCCTTCAGGAGGAACAGAGACATCTACAGGCTAAGAGGATAAACAAGCAGGCCCTGCTGGATGAACTGGTACACACACATTTTAAATGTTGATTTGTTCCATCATGGGTTGATACCTCATGGCCTTTCTACATTAGCATGTTCATCTGACTTTAGACTTCGTCCTTTGTGTCCAAAGTTGTCAACTGGTAGTCCGTAAAAGTAATGTAGGTCTATAGACTATCATGTAAAACAAGTAGAAAATTCTCAAACATATTTTATATACTTCACACACAATATATAAAACTATATCCTTGTCTGGTTTGAGTTGTGACCTAGTGGTTAGTGCTCTGGCACATTGAGTTGTGGTGCTTATGCAAGCGATGCAAGTTTGAGTCCAAATTGTGTTTTATCCTGATCTTCCTCTCCTATCCATCACTGTCCTCTCTTCACTGACGATTAAAGTGTCAAAAGAATGTTTAAAATAAAAGCATGTCCTGAATGTTTTGTTTGTGTTTGCAGGAAATTTCCAAGTTACCTGCGGCTGTGCTGTTGGCCCAACATAAAGATCGAGCCTCTCAACTGGAGACCCAGATAGAAAAACAGAAGCAAAATGTCAAGCCAGCAAACATCTTCTCTACTGGAATAATGATGGTGAGGGAACAACACACATACACACATGCATAACTGGTAGGGCTGACATCTTATTAATTAATGATTAATCAAATTAATTCCAGGATTTGCTGAGAAATGCCACCAAATGAAGGCTTATGATTAGACATAATTAAATCCATTCATTTTGTATTTTTTAATTATTGATTTTCCCACATTTATTTTAATTATATATATATATTTATATATATATGTGTGTTTGTGTGTGTGTATATAAATGTAATATAAATAAATGTAATGTAATTATAAATATAATTACATGTATTAAGTTTGTTTATTTTTCGACAAATAATTCTGCTAAATTTACATATTAAATACAAATGAGATCAGTAAATGACTTTCTAAACCATAGACATCATAAATGTTTTTTTTTCATATGTTTATAAACATCATATGTTTAATATTTAGTGCAACACGGACACACCAGCATGTTTGTATTAGCCAGTGTTTGAGTATGACGTGGGAGTGGTGTGTGTGTGTTTATATCATTTTGTTGTGCATCTGTGTTGTAAAGCAGGTAAGACAAGTTTTTTCTTTAAAAAAAAAAATCCCGTCAGCGGTCACTGCAAAGGACACAGACCTGAACCAACACGTCATGAATGTGTATGCAAACGAGGAGGGGGAGCAATACATCTCAAAAACTGCCGTTTGAGAGTAAAAACAGAAACACTGTGCACAATTGTCTGAGTTTGTGTGTGTGTGTGTGTGTGTGTGTGTGTATCTAAGTGCATAAGTTTCCACAAACGTGTCTTGTGGTTGGCATGAAGAGATGAGTGGTGTATACGTTGGCATGGATCTTGGCACAGGGAGGATAGTACCGGTATTTGTCAGCTTTAGATGGCTTTACACTACTAGGCAAGAGGCATGTGTGTATGGTTATATTTAACACACAGATGTTTCTGAGCTGTGCAGTTAGGCAATGTGTGTGTTCGGCTTGGAGATCAAAATAGTGTGTGTTACAGGGCATGGAGAGGGCATTGGCTCTCACACTTGTTACTTGAGCTCAGTTAATGCCAGCTGGAGGGTTCACAAAGCTCATTTTATCCCCACTGAACTTGTATGTGTGTTCACTAGTGTTACACGATAAATTCAGGACACTTTCTCAGTGTGAATTCAGTGACTGATGATTATTTTACTGTGAATAGGGCAAGCTATTTAAGATAATGTGTTGAGTATATTTTGTTGTATTTGTAGTAATATCTGTGTGTTTTTGTGACATTTTTCTCTTGTGCCACATGCAGAGCAGTGTGAGTGTGTGATCATTTTAAAATGTGCTGATCTGAGATGAGTGTGTGTGTGTGTGTGTGTGAAGGTCAGTAGAGGTGCTGATAGACAGTTTCTATTTGTTGACCTTGGAGCGCCCTGAAGACTTGCATAGTCAGAGTCCCGACACGCTCTCCCGCCTGATCCCATGTGAAACAGAAACCTTTTGCCATTCTCTTACATTCCACTCGACTTAATGAAACCGAAATTTGCCCAGAACACACGTTTAATTGGGTTTTGTCAAATGTACTTTTGTAAAAACGTTATGGACAATCCTTGTTTAAGGATGTTTAAGCAATAGTTATCAACAAAAAATATTTTATGTAGTAGTTGTGTAGAGTTTAGCTTTAAAGCAATGTTTCTCAATCAGGGATCCCTAGAAAACTTCCAATGGGGTCATAGGATGACATGAAATTTATTTAAATAAAAAAATAATTATTAATATATGACATAATCTAACTGTAATCTAAATAAAAAAAGATAAATTCAAGATATATTATTATTAGTACATTTTTTGATTATTAAATATTTAAAGTAGTTAAAAGGAAACCAATATCTTGGACACTGAGAGCCAAGATGTATAAAATTCTAAATACATGAAAACTTTTAAAAATGGTTGAAAATTAAATAAAAATTGCAATACATATCAAATCAGCAGCTAAATATAAATGTCAACGAATCAGGATGTCTATGACAATTGCCAGCCCTATTGCTTTCCTTTTGTCAAATGCATTCAATGTAAATTATCAGAATTAAGAACTCTTTCAAAAAATGTTCTAAAAGCCAAAGTGAAACTGATTGACTGACTTTACATCAGGGTTCCTCAATTAGTTTTCGCCGAGGGCCGAATTCTGCCAACAATACCAAGCCAAGGGCCACTGACCTATATATACTGTATATATAAATATATACGGTGGTGTGAAAAAGTGTTGGCCCCCTTCCTGATTTCTTATTTTTTTGCATGTTTGTCACACTTTAATGTTTCAGATCATCAAACAAATTTAAATATTAGTCAAAGATAACACAAGTAAACACAACATGCCGTTTTTAAAGAAGCCTTCTCCTTGTAATACCTATGTCATACCTTTGTCATTATACAAATGTATGTCCTCATTTATCACAAAAACACGCGCACGCACACACACACACACACATATATAGTATGCACGAAAATGCGTATTTTTCGGTTAAAGACAGCTTATAGATTTAATATGGGCTGCTTTTGGTGCTTGACACCTTTTTATTGGTCAATTTGTGTTTCAAGAATAAGGTCCAAGGTTAAGAATTATGCTATTAGTTACTGAAATATAAAATGTTTTTCTTTATTTAACAACATTACAATAGTGAAAAACGACTTCCCTTACTGATCACGTCTCTTGCACGGCGGGATGTTGGACTCATGAAAAATAATCACGTAGTTTGTATTCACCAAAACTGATTTACTGAAGTGAAAACACGGACGGAATTGGCGTTAGCACGAGTGCCGCTTGCTGTGAGGCGGGAGCGACGAGCCAGCAGAGGATTGTGCAGCCTTCCTCGAACAGTTATGTTCACGATTTCTGATTTACTTAACGTATACTGCGTGTGGGGGGCTGTGATTGGATGATGACAGGTATCGGTGATCATTCTCAAGTGATTAGCACTGCTGCTGTTGTATCAGTCAGTGGTTATATCAGTGTAGCAGTCAAAAAATGGGACAAGGGAAGTCACGTACGGGACAAATCAATTAGGCCCAAAATACGGGACGTCCCGGCTGATACGGGACGGTTTGCAACCCTACCCTACCTTACTCTGATGCCGTGTCCCGGTGCGACGGGACAAAACCAATAAAACCCATTACAAATGAGGCATTTGTAGCATCCAGTGGGGACATAATTACTGATTATAATGACTTGTACGGTCTTTTTACGCATTGCATTGCATCACGTAAACATAAAACCATGTCTGCATTTGTGATCGGAGAAACGACAAACAACAAGTGCTACTCTACACTGCCCAAAACTCGCGTTTGAATCATCAGTGGCAAATTCTTTAAATATGAATACGTACTTACAGACTGTGAGTCAGCATTATTTGTCAGAAAACCAGCATTGTATGCTACTCTCCCAGGAAACAGTCCTCGTCCTCCGTAAAATGCGTTGCACACACACAAATATATGGGTTAAACTGTTCTGGAACAGAGTTGTAAATACAACTTAACCACTGATTATTAGTCGTGTCCTCTTTTGGAAGGCCAAACAAAGTAGTTTCGCTTTCACAATGAAACACAGCGTCTCCACGACATGGAGGCGGCGGCAACAATACAACAGCGAGAATAAAAGTTACGCCTTCTTTCTTTGCGTGAATTTTGGGCGGTGTGGGACAAAACCAATAAAACCCATTACAAATGAGGCATTTGTAGCATCCAGTGGGGACATAATTACTGATTATAATGACTTGTACGGTCTTTTTACGCATTGCATTGCATCACGTAAACATAAAACCATGTCTGCATTTGTGATCGGAGAAACGACAAACAACAAGTGCTACTCTACACTGCCCAAAACTCGCGTTTGAATCATCAGTGGCAAATTCTTTAAATATGAATACGTACTTACAGACTGTGAGTCAGCATTATTTGTCAGAAAACCAGCATTGTATGCTACTCTCCCAGGAAACAGTCCTCGTCCTCCGTAAAATGCGTTGCACACACACAAATATATGGGTTAAACTGTTCTGGAACAGAGTTGTAAATACAACTTAACCACTGATTATTAGTCGTGTCCTCTTTTGGAAGGCCAAACAAAGTAGTTTCGCTTTCACAATGAAACACAGCGTCTCCACGACATGGAGGCGGCGGCAACAATACAACAGCGAGAATAAAAGTTACGCCTTCTTTCTTTGCGTGAATTTTGGGCGGTGTTATGCAAATCTTCCCACACAGTGACGTACACATGTGGGGGCGTGTTTAAATGAGGCATTTTAGGAGGGCGTGGACGTGTCTTAACTTTTATAAAGAATGTTTGGGTTTGAGACTTTAGTTTTTGCAACTTTAGGGATCTTAACTATTCACAAACAGCTTGTAACACTCCAAAGAGAAAGGAAAACTTGAAATCGCATCAGATATGACCCCTTTAAAGATGTTTAGAGAGTTGACTGAGGAACTTTGTAGTTTGTACTGAAGATATTCTTGGTCGCACCTGTATTGTTATATATAGAGTTATATCTGATTTTATGTTACTCACTCGAAATGTTACATCAGAAAGTTATTTTAAATTTCAATCTTATGGCCCTTAATGTCTAAATGGGTGGTTCTTCGTAGAATAAGCTTTAAAGTCTATGGTCAACTTGGTCTGCTCTGGTGACTGACAGTGTGTACTACACTGGTACAAGGAGAATAGCTAATCATAATAGTCATTTACATAAACTCTTAAAGGTACAGTAGCAAAAACAGCCTAATTTTATGCTATTAAATTATGGTCAGTGAAACTAAATTATGACTCTTTTTGGTGCAAGAAACATTTTTTGATTTACATAACAGTTTTGGAAACACAGCCTTCTTTTGGTCTTCTTCCAAAAAGTAACTTTAAGAAAGAATAGTTTATTACAGAATTTCCCAAATCCAGTCCCACATTCTGGTTGATACTTGTAGCTGAATGCTGGCAAGAAGCAATACCAACACACCTCAGAAATAATAACTGGCATTTGTTGGTTTGGTGAGGAAAATTATCACACCCACA